CCGTAAACTCTAAACCCTAAACCCACACGCTAAAACCCCAAACCTTAAGTCGCAAACCCCGAACCCCCAAAACCCCAAAAAACCCATTAAACCCTTTAAACACATGAAACCCTACCTATATTCTCCATTGTAGTTCCTTTTTGTTGATACCTTATGGGATCCTAAATATACAATTGGTTAAACTAAGGAACTTAAGCCCCAACCTGAAACCGTGTGATTCCGATGAGACCCTTTTAAGTTAAGCCCTTGACATCCCAAGCTCCCCGACCCTAAACCCTAAACCCTAAACTCTTAAACCCTAAACCCTTAAGCCCTAAACTCTTAAACCCTAAACCCTAAACCCCTCAACCCTAAACCCTAAACCCTAAATCCCTAAACCCTTAAGCCCTAAACCCTATAAACCCTAAGCCCTTCAGCCCTTCAGGCCTCGACTCCACGGATGTCAGCTCCTCCGGAATGGCCGGAGCTTCCTCCCAGCAGTCGCTCACAGACAGCGACTGACGTAGGGCTCGGGTTTAGGGTTTAGGGTCTAGGGTTTAGGGTTTAGGGTTTAGGGTTCAGGGTTTAGGGTTTCGGGTTTAGGGTTTCGGGGGCTGGTTGGAGTTTAGGATAGGGTTTTTGCTTTAGGCTTTTGAGGTTTAGAGGGTTTAGGGTTTAGGATGCAGGGCTCTAGGCGTTTAGGGTTCGGGGTTCAGGGTTTCGGCAAGGTTGGAGGTTTAGTTCACAACCGATGCCTGTAGACTGCTGCCCGAATGCCTAGACTGCTGCCCGAATGCCTCTTAACCGTCACTCTGTAAAAAAAATCACGGCGCGGATGTCTTCACAAGAAATGCCGAAGGACTGATTCACGAAGCAGCAAATGCCAGCGTCAAACTCCAGAACTTGACAATGCCCTAAACCCTAAACCCTGGACCCCCAACCCGATAGAATCCCAAACGGCTGAACCATCATCTCCGAATGCTGAGCTGCTTATCCAATTGCTAGTTGCTAATTAAGCCCCCTAAACCCATACACAGCCCTATACACCCTATATTCCGCACCCTAAACCCTAAACCCTAAACCCTAAACCGTGGCTCTCATAAGTCCTTCAAAACCTGACAGGCCCGACCCTGAGAAAAGTTTAGGGCTCAGGGGTTTAGGGGTTTCGGGTTTCGGGGTCGGATCCATTGCTCATAGAATTCTTCTATTTTTTGCATCCTTTATTCTAGTTGATGTTATTTTATAATGTAATCTACCCCGCAAACCCTACTCTAACTAAAGACCCCTATATTCGTTCTTGTGAGAGCATCCGAATTCACGTAAGTCGCCGTGCGTCTTCCAGCGTGGGAGGTCTCGAGCTCTATACCATAGGAGCCCAGACGGCGTTATTCGTAGCATCCCAGAAGCAGTGAAAGCATGAGTCGGAATAATTTCCCAGAGAACTCCCTTGTAGTAACTCTCAGATGACAAGGAGTAATGCTTAAGACCTCCCGCGCCATCTGCTAATGCCACCTGTTTTACTTTGAAACAGTGGTGAATATCAAGGTCTCTTGCTGTTGTCGAGACCAAGATGACACTAGGGTTCGGATTTAGGGTTTTAGGGTTTAGGGATGACCGCTGTCTTGAAAGCCAGACCGTGAGACCTTCGAGGAATTCAGAGCCAGGGGCGTGACAAGGACGGCCCCCAAGTGATCAAAGCTGTCAGTCTTGATTTCACAAGGCTCTTTAAAGGATCCAAGGGGGCCCCTGAACCCAAAACCTTCACCCCTAAACCCAAACCCCTAAACCCTAAACCGTGCACATGAACTGCTACAAAGACTAGGGCTATCCGTTGGCAGGTTTGTGCCATTGCAGCTTCTTGAGTTCATGACGGGCCGTAGTTTTGGGTTTTGGGTTCAGGTAGAACAGGAAGATCTGTCATTGACGCTCCTGATAAAAGGCTCAATATAAGGGTCTGAACAGGTAGCGAGAGTAATTATCCCCAAACTCTAAACCCTAAACCCTCTCAGTTGAAGAGGCAGCAAAAGTATCCCCTCAGAGCCCCTGCTTTTATCCTCCCAGATCCGGCGCCTTATTTAGCGTAGCTAGGGCTCCTGCCGCGTTATTGCCGGCAGCTGCATTGACAGATCATTGCGGCAAAAAAACCTAACACCCAAACCCTAAGCCCAAAGCCCTGAACCTTAAACCCTAAACCCTAAACCCTGAACCTTAAACTCTAAACCCGAAATCCTGAACCCTAAACCCTGAACCCTAAATCCTAAACCCTAACTGGTGCTTCCTCGTTCGTCGTACAGTGGGGTCTCCACGGGTAGTTGCAGGGCCTCGGATTGGTTTGCGGTTTAAGTTGTCCTTATTCTCCAAGACACGTCTACGAATATAGGGCCTAAACTTCAATTTAAATGATTACCAATACTATTTTCGGGGTTCCTTTAAAGGGTTCCTTAAAGGCTTCTATAAGGGCAACTAGAAGGGTTTAGGGTTTAGGGGCCTAAATAGCTATCAATACTATTTGGGGGGGGGGATTCCTTCTTCTACCGAGTAGACTGGATAAGTATGAAGGCCCTGACATGGCCTACTTTTCATGCTTTTTAGGTCTTACACTTTCGCAGGTAGGATGTGAATATGTGGTTGCAGGCAGCTAGATTTTGCTGTATGGCAAGTTGAAACACAAAGGCTCGTTAGTAAGCAGACTTACCAGGTTCGCTTTCCATGTTTTTTGCATACGGCCGGCACATAGACTGAGAATCTGAATCGCTGAGTGCATCAGCAAGCCCTGAATATGTCCTTGCTCGCTGTTCAAGAGTTGTATGCCCTAAACCCTAAACCCTAAAACCCTAAACCCTAAACCCTAAACTCTAAACCCTAAACCCTAAACCCCAGCTCTGTCGCCTGCGATTGCAAACTCTCTACAAGGCTAAGCTGCATGGGGGCTCTGGTTGAAGCTCCGGTTCGGGCGGTTTAGGGCGTTCTAGGATTTTAGAGGTTTAGAGTTTAGGGTTTAGGGGTTTAGGGTTTTGGGGTTTTGGGGTTTAGGGTTTAGGGGTTTAGGGTTTAGGGTTTAGGGTGTTCTAAAATTTTAGGGTTTAGGGGTTTAGTGTTTTGGGGTTTTGGGGTTTAGTTTAGGGTTTTAGGGGTTTAGGGTTTCAGGGGTTTAGAGGTTTAGGGTTTATAGGGTTTAGGGTAAACCTCCCTCAAGATTCTGGGGATGTAGGGACCAGGATTGCACCCGTGAGTGATGCTGTCTTGGCAGTTATCCCCAGACCTGTCCTCCGAGAAAATGTCGTGTTCCATAACACCCATAACATAGCGGCCATTAGTTACCTACACTATTTTGGGGGGTTCCTTATTGTAACTATAGTATAATGAGCCCTAAACCCTAAACCCTAAACCCTAAACCCCTAACCCCTAAACCCTAAACCCCAAAACCTATTCTATTTGTTAAGGCCCCTATACATATTATGCCTTCACTAGGAGACTCTGTCCGCACCCGTGTGCTGACAACCACGGCGACCTCAGCATTCCCTTATGCCGCAATCCCTAAACCCCCAACCCTAAACCTTAAACCCTAAACCCTTAACCCCAAACCCTAAACCTTAAACCCTAAATCCCAAATCCCTAAACCCCTAAAACGGAACCCCCAAACCCTAAACCCCAAACCCTCAATCCCTAAACCCCAAACCCTAAACCCCAAATCCCTCAACCCCCCAAACCCTGAACCCTAAACCCCAAGTCCCAGACCTTCACTCTTCGACGTAGCTCCTTTTGCACAGTGGCTTCATATTGTAGTCTCCGAAGATAAGGGGTACCTTGTTTTGGGGTCCTTAGAATAAGGATCGTACTATGTAGGGTACTATAGATTAGGGTCCCCTATTTTCGGAAACCCCCATATACTACCACTATGGAATTAGGCCTCCAAAGGTCATCCTGGTTTAGAGTTTAGGGCTTAGGGTTTAGGGTTTAGGGTTCCGTAGATAAGAAGCCTCGTGGTTATAGCTGGGATGCATCCTACTTGCACAAGAACCCTAAACCCCGAGCCGAAGAAGAAGGCCAACCAACAGAATGAGCTTCATTGCAGAGTATAGGCAGTGTTGGGGTTACAGTTTATGAATTGTGGTGTAGTTATCAGAAGGAGCCCCCAAAATAGTATAGGTAATTTTTGAGGCCCCTACAGTAGCCCAGACTTGCCTCAGGGGGGCTGCGAGCTTCTTTCACTCCGGGTCCTGCGCAGTCGAGTCAGACTTGTTGCTGTAGGCCTTGAGGGTTAGTAGGTAGGGCTGAGGGTTTGAGGGTTTAGGCTTCAGGGTTTGGGTTTAGGGGTTTAGGGTTAGTAGGTAGGGTTAGGGCTCCGAGATGTAGGCATCTACAAACCCTGAAACAAAGCCCCAAGCCTTACATGCTCAATCAGTCCTTGCGCTTGTGTTCCTTTCCCTTTTAAATCCTCAATCTTGCGGCTTGGCTCCAGTTCCCGGACGTTCCCAAGGCAGGGGGACCGGTCGGACAGTACAGAGCACGGCATGGCAGCCAGTAGGGCTTCAACATCTCTCCATGCTCGGATCAGAGCCCCTCAGATTTCACCAGCATGAAAACGAAGGCCACCCACCAGTTGCAGGAGTTTCAGGGTCAGGCTAGGGCATCGTAGCGACCGAAACCCTTGCCCAGCATGCCGCGAAGTGATAGCCGCGGCCGCAGCCGAAGCCAGAAGAAGGCCATCCTCAGCGTTACATCTGGGTTTGGGGTTGTGAGTTGAGGGTTTAAGGTTGGGGGTTTCGGTTTAGAACTGTTCGTGGGGACTCTACAGGCTCTTGGGGGTTTTGGAGGTTGCTTGAATCAGGGGACTTAGCCAGTTGGATTATCAGGTCATCAATCCGGGTTAGTAAACATAGTTCCTATGGATACTTTGCTTCTAACTCATGGTGTGTTTGCTCTCGCCATGGCCCCGTTGGGGTGTAGTATAGAGGGTTTAGGGTTTAGGGGAGGTCTAGCTAGCTACCGAAAGTATTCTGGGTTGGGCTTAGAAACTTCGGGGTTATTGGCTAGTTCTGAGCATTTCTATGAGCACCTTGAAGGGGTTAAAGGTTGCCCAAGATTTTCACAACCCGAACTATCACCCTACATACTTAAACCCCTGATACGGTGAGTAAGAGTTTATATGTTTGGCCGTTTAGCATCCTTTGCATATCCTAGGTCTTAAAGCCCCGTCCCAGTTCACCCCCGCAATCTCGTTCCCCAATCCCTAGACTTTTTTACCGTCAGCTTTAGCACATGGGATGTCAGGAGTGCTGCATAGCTTACAGGCTTCGACGACATGCTGGTTGAACTAGTCGGCTTGTGTACGTCAAAATTCGGTTTTCGGACGTGTGCAGTTGAGTATGTAGGGTCGATTCTATGCATTGTGAGCTTAGGGTAGCCGGGTTGGCATTATCCCTCAGGGTTCCTTACTTTACTTTCAGGTTTAGGGCTTGGGGTTAAGATTTCGGGTTTAGGGTCTATGGCTGAGGGTATGCTATCATATACCCTTATTCTACAGATGTGTAGGGCCCCTCTAAATTACTCGTTCCCTAGGATTTGCCCTTGAGCCGAAACCCTCAGCCCTAAACCCTAAACCCTAAACCCTCAACCCTAACCCCTAAGCCCTAAACCCCTCAACCCA